TGCCCCTTCTCCGAGGCCCCACCCCACTCACTCCATCCCCCCACTCCCTCCGTCGCTCGCTCTCCCCCACCCTCACTCACTTTCAGTGGGCTGGGCCAGGGGATTGGGGTGTGGGACAGAATGAGGGGTGCAGGCTCTGGAAGGGAGTTTGAGTGGAGGAGGGGGCTCAGGGCTGGGGCAGGGGTTGGGGTGCAGGAGGGGATGAGGGGTGTGGGGTCCAGCCGGGAGGCGCTTACCTTGGGTGGCTCCCAGACGCACAGCAGGGCTAAGGCAGGCTCCCTGCTCACCCTGGCCCTGCACTGCTCCCGGAAGTGGCCTGCACGTCCCTGCCGTGCTCCACGCACTGCCTGTGCCGGCAAGCGCCGCCCCCTGTGGAGTCAGCGCTCGGGGAGGGGGCAGTGCACGGAGATGCACCCCTGCCAGGGGCCGCAGGGATGTGTGGGCCATTTCTGGGAGCAGTGCAGGGCCAGGGCAGGCAAGGAGCTGCCTTAGCCCCGCTGCGCCGCCGGACTTTTAGTCCCTAAAATCTCCCAGTTTGGCTGCAGTAGCCTCCAGGAGATGGAGCCCGATTCCGGGAGACTCCCGGTCAAACCGGGGCGGTTGGCATGACAGGACTCCCGCTTATTTCCCACCCACGTACGGAATGAATTTTTTTACGTGCCCCAAAATGGAGGTGACGCATGGCACGACCCTGTGACACATCACCTCCATATTGGGGGCATGCAACAAAATTAATGTGGCGGGGGTGGGGCTGAGGAGTGCGGAGTGTGGGAGGGGCTCAGGGACTGGGGCAGAGGGTTGGGGTGCAGGGGGTGAGGGCTCTGGGTGGGGGTGCAGGCCGCGCTGATTAGGGGGAACTCCGGTTGGCAACCCTACATACGGCCGATACCCGGGTCGGGGCGTGTATATGAGCAGTTACAGTACCAGGGCACCCCATGCCCAGTCCCACACCGGTCCCCGGTACCTGCGGGCACAAAGGGCAGCACGGCCTGGCTCTGTCCGTGGGCGTTGGTGGCAGCGCAGGACACGTTGGCCAGGGCCCAGGCCGGGCCCCGCAGCTCCCCGCTCACGGCCAGGCCCCGCACCCCCGAGGTCGCTC